GTGTTATTGTAACGAACTTTCTTCTTTCCTTACATCAATGGTTTGTGCTTGAGAAAACGTTAAGTTGAACACTTTCATCTGTCTATTCAGACTCTCAGAAATTAAAATAGAAATTCCATTTCAAGGTATCAAAAAGTGTTTAGAAAAAAACTTCCAGATGACCAATTAACTACAGATGAAAAGGTTTTTTCATGAATGTCTTTGGTTCCGAAGTTGTCATCTCTGATCTGAAATATGACCCAAATTCCGCTGAAACGCAATCCCGCAATCCCAGGAGTAAAATCGCAATCTTTGCGCGCAATCCGCAATCTTTAGGCGCAATCACACAATCTTCGCAATCCGGGTTCACTCAGAGTGGCACATGTTTACCCCTTGGCAAAAGGCATCTATTGTTAAATGAAATATGAAATTTCTATTATTATTGTGTATATTCGGGTTTAATTTTCGTGGCTGCAGAATTTTCCATCTTCCACCATCATATTTGCCAATGCAAATGCAATTTTGTTGCAACTGGAAAAACTCACTGGTTGTGCCCCTATTCCTTTCTCTTTCACTCTCTCTCTCTCTCTCTCACCTTTCCTCTCTGCTGGAATATAAATTGGACATTACGCCATGAGAGCAATATACGAGTTATTAGATGAATCACAGACACGCTCAATGTTGGTTGACTTTAGCAATTAGATGTGAAGAAAATATAAATTTTCCACGTTCAACTTGGGTAACTGAAGGGGTTCGTCATCGAGGTAAAAATTGAGCACATTATTGTTAATTAAAGTAACAAATAAGTCTTTTTTTGAGAGATTTTCAAAAAAAAATCGTCCGGCTCGAAGAACCAAGAATGCACAAAGAGTCCAATATTAACATCACAAGACAATCAACTATACACTGAAAAATCTACCCATCGCAGTGAGTTTGTAGTGTTGCCAGATGGGAAACAAGAGGACGAAATGCATTCGAGTGTTTAAATTTGTGGCTAAAAATGCCTCCATTTCCTGTATTTGCAGCATATTTCAGTCTTATTCAATTTATCCATGACATTCTTGGCATTTCAAGTGTTGCCATATTGTGCAAAATCTTCAAATCGCAAATTATGAGACGCACGGAGACAATTTGGAGGTTATGTTTCCCTTTTATCACAAGAAAATCACAGTGAAACCTCTGTAAAATGCTTCATGAAGAGCGAAAAACGCTCATGACAAGAAGAACATGGAAGAAGTGACAGTGAAATGTCAAAAATGACACAAGCTGTCACTTTGACAGATTTTTTGACAGAAACTTCACTTGTGTTACCCAAAAAATCACACAGTAAATCGCCATGAAAAGCTCAAGACAGCTTTTCAACCACCCTCAAATATATCTATTGTCACCTCTGACGTTTATTGCTTGATTTGAATTGAAAGAAGTCCTTCAAAGTCTCAATGAGCACCCCTTTTTGAACTTCAGCACCACAAAATATGATGTCTTGCGATCAATTTCAATTGCGCCACGCCACAAAACAGAGGAAATTGGCGATTCCCCCGAGACTCGCCGGATGGTAAATGATATGCAGAGACGCCTTCGCACCCCCGCGGGGCGTGAGTTTTAGGGTCGTCGATGGGGAAGACAAAGATGTTGAGGTCCTGTGCCGAAGAGTGTGAGATTGATTTGCATTTTAAACAATTGAAATAATTAATTTGCTCCCATTGTCTGATGCTCAGAGTGCAAAATTTTAAATTGAGTTTGCAAGAAGCTCTGGAGTCTCTTTCGCTTTTTGAGGGGTGGCGAGGGAGGGGGTGGAAATAAAAATTCATGAAGTGGTAAAATGAGTGGAAGGCGCGCGACTCAACAATTTTCTTTTGGACAAAACTGAAGCGAGAGAGAGTAAAAATCATTGGGAAAGTCACGAAATCACTGCGTCTCGCGCGCGCTTTTGCCATTCAAATGTATTGAATGGCAGGGGGGGGGGATGAAAAAGAGGGTGGTAAACTTTGCCAGACGAAAGTTTGTTAGATATTTCAATGTGCTCATTCACCATGATACCGCCACAGAACTTGTACAATTAATCTCACTATCATCATCGTACATTTTTCTTCCTCATTTCCCCTCTTACAATCTCTTCATATATATATATATGTATCACCTGGGATGGCAAATTAAGTCATCCCTAAGAGCGATTACAGACTTGAGGTTTACCCTCGAATCGACAGGAACTGAAATCATCCCTCCGTGGATGAGTTTGGAGTGTTTAAAGATCAGATTAGCGACAAGTCGTGGCTGATTTGGCGCTAAAAACACTCAGGAGTTATTCTTCTTTGTCGACACTAGCGCCAATTTTGCTATTTATGACAATTTTACGCAAGACGGAGATAATATGCCTGACTTTAAAGGCATTTTCCATCGCTTTTTAGACTTCTTCCACTGTTTCTTGTACTCAAATCTAACTTTTATCACAATCAAATCTAAGTTTTGCCTTCAGAAAATGCTTTGAAAACTTCTGACCAAATTGTGAGGTTAGGAATTCAGCTTAGAAAATCTTTTTCTGGGTTAATTTAAATCTTTATCTGGAAATGAGTAAATATATTGAAATTCTAAATGTTTCTACTCAATAACGAGATTAAATTTGTCACAAAAAATATTCTTCTTGACAGAAATGGGATTTTTTTTGAGGTTATGTTTGATTTTTAAGCTTTTTCTCAATCAATATGAAGTTTTATCGATAAAAATGGCTGAAATCTGTGAAGAAACAGAGAAATAATCCCGCTTAACCACAAATTTAATGATTTTGAGGGTTATTAAATCGTCAGAATCGGTTTTAAATCAATCACATAACCTAGAAAAACAATAAAATTTGTTTATCTAACTGAAATATTTGCTTCAAATATTCTAAATATTTTACCATTTCTAACCCTTAACACTTCCATAAAAGCTGTACACCACTTCTGATTGTAATATCTGCCCCTTGATTTGACGATAAAATCAAGAAAATGGAAGATTTGCAGAAGAATTGAATGCTTTTCAACTGAATGTGTTACGGGCGCATTTTGCCTCAATAAATATGACACAGTCTGTGCGGAAATATAGAAGCGGCAATCATTTGTATCATTTCTATCATTTGATGATTAGCCGCTTGCATCCCGAATTTCTCGGATTGACGAAGTAAAATCACTTCTTGTTCAGCGTTTGAGAGTGCAACAGTGTCGTGAGTGTCGTCATATATGTAAATTTTCCTGGAAAACTGCGTGAAGACGAAGGAAGCGGACCTTCAGAGCGAACCCCCCGAAATCCGCGGAGCAACTTTTGGCGCCCAACTCGTGGTTCGAGGCACACGACTTTTTTCCCTTTGTTCATGCCTCGTGGTCATAGTAATTTTTTTTTAATAGTCAATTTTCCACTGTAAGAAAACTTTTTCGTGGAAAATTTTGAGTTCCACCGTGCTTGCGTAATTTTTCTGATTACATTGGTGATAAATTTGTGATATTCGTGATCGAATTTATCGCATTTTGGAGCAATTTTTCAATCATTTTTGCATGCCTCGTGGCAAAGTAGTTTTCTCAGTGTGTATTTCACATATATAAATTAATTTCAACATATTTTTCGAGCCCTTACAGTGCATAATCAGTTTTTTTTTCCTCTCTCGATAGTCGCGGTTCAAATTTTCAGTGCTTTTTCTTCATAATTTTTCGCTTTTTTGCTCAATTTTAGTCACACACAAGGTGTTGCATAAGTTTTATACTTCTTTTTCTCTTCTCATTTAGCTCGATTTTTCACGTGGTTTTCCAATTTTTTTTTATTGTTTTTTTCTCCCCTTTATTGGTGAGCACCACAAGCTAACACTGTACACACTCTGAGTTCTCAAAAGAAAAAAAAGAAGAAATTTTTTGGACGTTAAAATGAATGTGGAAATGGTGAAGCACCTTCAGTGTTGGGCGAATTTTTTACATTTTTACTTTTACACAATTCTTTACATGGTAAAAAATGTTTTCTTTACACACAATTTTTTTTACATGTAAAGAAAAAATGTAAAATACGAAAATTGGGTTCAATTTTTCGAATCGAACATTTGCTAATAACGGAAATTTACTTCAGGTCTTTTTTTCATGAAGCCAAAATTATTAAGAGTTTTGTGAATTTTAACCTCGTTTAGGCAATTAAGACCAAAATGTGCAGAAATATTTCTCGGTTTTATGGTTCTTAGGCAAAAATTTAATCTCGTGCAATCCTTGAAGTTCTTGCCAAGATATTTGCTAAACATGAATTTTTCCCGCTGTGCATTCTGGATAAGCATAATAAGCAACCGTCACATTGTCATTTTCTGTCCAGGAATGTGAAGATGATCTCTGAAGAGACATTTAGTTCGGAATTGACCATCGAAGCATATCCTGCGGGTGTCTTTGGGGTTCCTGGGATGTCCGAAGCGCTTGTTAGAAGACTCAAGCGTGCTTAAAGTGGTTTTTATTCGCCAAAAAACAACAAAATGAAGCAATCGGCATGAAAATCGTCTTCTCTTGCCCAAAATCCAAAGAATGAAGTTTCTAAAATGCGATCCGACATTCCATAGACCTGTCCCAATTGCTGGATGGACATTCTTCTTCCTTGCTTGGTATTTTCCCCGATGGTTAATCGGCAGCAGAAGCACCTCGAAAAGAATACAACAAAAAAATACGTTCAATTTGCAAATTTGCTTGTAAAATAAGAGAAAAAACTTCGATATTCCATCAAAGAAATGTATTGGAACATCAGTTGTTGAATTATTAACTTACCTTACTCAATTATGCCAACAATTTGCAGATTTTCCTGAGTTTTCACTGTTTCTTTACAATTTTGCGACTTCACGCGTATGTGACAAAAAGTATTTTCTGCAATTCCACGGGAATTCCACGGGAATTCCACGGGAATTCCACGGGAATCTCAGTAGTTTTTTTAAACTTCAGAAAAGAATTTTTACATTTTACTTTACATTTTACATTTTTTACACATTCTTTACATGTAAAATGTAAAGAGGTATTTTTTACCAAGTAAAGGCACAACACTGATCGAAGACCACCCCCAGATACGTGAAGTCAGTGACAAAAGGGATAGTCAGATTGGATGAACAAGGCGCTCCACGACAAGTCCGGCAGCGAGATATTATCTCCGTTGATAGCTCTCCGGAACGCGGCGGTAGGAAGCGCATTGCCCGCGATTTACTGCTCAAGATCATGGAGCAACATTCAGCCCTCTGGATGCCGTGGAGCAAGATTTCTTGCACCACCCCCATCTCTAATCTAATCTAATCCTTTCGTGGATCATCCGCAAGTCTGTAATCAGTCTAACTTTCAAGCTCCTCTTTTTCACGCACAAACTGCATTTCCAGCCAATTTTCTCTCTCTTTCTCTCTGTCTTAAAACCCTTTCCTCCCCCCTCCCCAAAAATTAGTGGTAAAGGATAAAGAAAGAAATTCTTCAATGTGGTGCTAAATAATTGTGTGAGAGGAATAAAAAAGATGAGATAAACATGACTTTCTGATTAAGTGTATAGAGAGCGAAGAGTAAATTGTAGTAGAATAGATAGAAAGTGTAGTGTTTAAGGGAAAATATCTCAATTTTGCTGCAGTCACGAAGAATGAAATCCATGTGTGTGTGTGTCACTTTAAGGATAAGAATACGCAACAATTCCCGATATTTAACACTCCTTTGTTGTTCTTTTCTTTCACAAATCACCACAAGAAACCCGACAATATCTATATATATATATATATATATGACATAAAATCTCCCTGCTCTAGAGCTTTCCATGAGGACTGGGGATGACCCCCCAGTCAAAACCACACACCCCCCACACAAAAAACCCATCATTTTCTGTGTATCTTTTAGTTTAGGATGTCGAGAGAGAGAAAAAAAAGGGGGAAGAAAGATTGAAGAATCTTTTTGGATGAAGAGAAGCGATAAATCATGTTATATTTCTTATTACACACAACACACAAACACACACAATCATATTTTAATTATTGTATATTAAAAGACTGACTTTAAGCAGAATAAATGAAAGTGAAGAATAATAAAAAAAAGATTACGTTCGAAAAACAAAGCATCTTTCACTTCCTCAAACAAGGGGCAAATCACAAGGCGATTTTTGAGAAAACTTAATTAATTATTTGAGTAAAATAATCAAAAAAAGGATTATTTTCCCAAGTAAAATTGAAAAATAATCAAATTATGGTTTGAATAATTAAAAAAAAGATTATTTTCTCAACTAAAATTGAAAAAACATCTTATTTTGAATAAATAATTTAAAAAAAAATTATTATCCCGAGTAAAATAACAAAAAAAAACATCAAAATAAACAAATTCTGAATTGAGTGATAAAAAAATGAATATTTTCTCGAAATAAATTGAAACATAATCAAATTTAAAAAAAAATTATCCAAAAATTATTATTTTCCAAAGTAAAGTTGAAAAAAAAACAAATTTTGGATAGAATAATCAAAAAATGATTATTTTCCCAAGTAAAATTGAAAAATAATCAAATTTTGAATAAGATAATTTAAAAAATGATTATTTTTCCGAGTAAAATTGAAAAATAATAAAAATTATGATTTCAATAATAAAAAAAAGATTATTTTCTCAACTAAAATTGAAAAAAAATCTAATTTTGAATACATAATCAAAGAAAAGATTATTTTCCCGCAGTAAAATAACAAAAAAAAAAAACAAAATAACCAAATTCTGAATAAAATAATCAAAAAATGAATATTTTTTCAAACAAAAATTGAAAAATTTTTGGAAAAAAATTACAAAAAATCAAAATAACCAAATTCTGAATAAAATAATCAAAAAATGAATATTTTTTCAAACAAAAATTGAAAAATTTTTGGAAAAAATTTACAAAAAAATCAAAATAACCAAATTCTGAATTAAATAATCAGAAACAAATGAATATAATTCTCAAGTAGATTTTGAAAAATAATCATATTTTAAATAAAATATCAAAAAAAAAAACAAATCCCAAGTAAAATTACATAAAAATCTCAATAATGAAATTCTGAAATAAATTATGAATAAAAATAAATTATTTTCAATCAATTAATCAGAATATATTCAAAATTTGATTAAATATTTGCGGAAAATAATAAAAAATAATCAGAATTTGTATGAAATACAAGAATTTTTAATCAAAAATTGAGAAAATAATCAAAAAATATTCAAAAAATAATCAATTTTAAATCAAATATTTAGAAAATGATCAGAATTTTCTACGAAATAATCAAAAAAAAAAAAATTGAATAATCACAAAGTTAATGGTCTCAATTTGCGCTAGTGATTAGCCCCTTGTCCTCAAAGCTTGAAATCCCGCCAATTGTGCACGCTGACGAACTTCCTGAGGCGCCACGTGAAGAAGTAGAGGAACTCCGTGAAGCTGAGCAGACTACAGCCCAGGAATAGGCCGGCGGTGCCACCGATGTACACTGTGGGGTGGCGGAAGAGAGAGAGAGAGGGTGAGTTATTGCAATGTGCGGCAGGTAATTAATTAGCGTCGGTGCGTTTTACCCAGTAAATCCGTGAAGCGAAACAGGACGTCGCGGATGAGCTGCATTTTGGGATAATCACTGATGCCCCACTGGAGATTGGCACCCAAAAACCACACCCGGGATTTCTTTAATTACACAATCCCAGGCCAAGGGGGAGATATTCAAAGAAGAAATTGTTAAAACATTTGCATAATTGTGCATAAAACTTTTGCTTTTGAAAGCTTCTAAAATGAATTTAGATTGCATAAGCACAGATATTATTGGTGGAAAATGTATTTTTATCCATAATTTTTGATTGATAACCTGACAATTTAACGATTTTGAACAGGTTTTAGAATAATTTCAACATAGAACTATTTTCTAATTAAGGTTTTTTTTTCTTTTGAACCTCTGAAAAAGTCAAGTGGGAAGTCAGTCGCGCAAGTTGAGACCATTAACTTTATGATTATTTAATCATTTTTATGATTATTTGTGATTATTAATCAAATTTTGATTATTTCATACAAAATTTTGATATTTTTGATTCTTTTTTGAATATTAAATAAAAAATTGTTTATTTTATACAAATTCTGATTATTTCTAAATTATTTGATGAAAATTTGATGAAAATTTGATAATTTTTTGAATATTTTGATTATTTTCTGAATATTTTATTAAAAATCGATTATTTAATACAAAATTTTGATATTTTTAAATTATTTTATGAAAATTTGATGAAAATTTGATCATTTTTTGAATATTTTTGATTCTTTTTTAAATATTTTATTAAAAACCGATTATTTAATATAAAATTTTGATATTTTTAAATTATTTTCTGAATATTTGATTAAAATTTGATCATTTTTTGAATATTTTTGATTCTTTTTTAAATATTTTATTTAAAACCGATTATTTAATACAAAATTGTGATATTTTTAAATTACTTGATGAAAATTTGATAATTTTTTGAATATTTTGATTATTTTCTGAATATTTGATTAAAAACCGATTTTTTAATACAAAATTTTGATATTTTTAAATTATTTTATGAAAATTTGATGAAAATTTGATCATTTTTTGAATATTTTTGATTCTTTTTTAAATATTTTATTAAAAACCGATTATTTAATATAAAATTTTGATATTTTTAAATTATTTTCTGAATATTTGATTAAAATTTGATCATTTTTTGAATATTTTTGATTCTTTTTTAAATATTTTATTAAAACCGATTATTTAATACAAAATTTTGATATTTTTAAATTACTTGATGAAAATTTGATAATTTTTTGAATATTTTGATTATTTTCTGAATATTTGATTAAAAACCGATTTTTTAATACAAAATTTTGATATTTTTAAATTATTTTATGAAAATTTGATGAAAATTTGATCATTTTTTGAATATTTTTGATTCTTTTTTAAATATTTTATTAAAAACCGATTATTTAATACAAAATTTTGATATTTTTAAATTATTTTCTGAATATTTGATTAAAATTTGATCATTTTTTGAATATTTTTGATTCTTTTTTGAATATTTACTAAAAATTTGTTTATTTGATGCAAATTCTGATTATTTTTAAATTTTTTGTGATCTTAATTCAAATTTTGAATATTTTTCAATTTTACTTGAGAAAAATAATTTTTTTTTCAAATAATGTTGTTCAGAATTTGATTATTTTGATTTTTTTTCTTTGTTACTTTACTTTCGAAAATAATAATTTTACTTTAGGAAATATTTATTTTTTTTGGTTATTATTTTATTCAATATATTTGATTATTTTGCAATTTTATTTGAGAAAATATTCATTTTTTGATTATTTTAGTCAAAGAATCGATTTAGTTTCCTCTAAAATCACTCCTTGTGATTTGCCCATTGGAAAAAGTCAGTTAGGGGTAAGTGGGGCAGCTTCAGATTCAAAATGCTGTTCCAACTTTAGGATTTTTTCTTGAAAAATCGACTAAATATATTGAAATGATCACAACGCTCAAATAAACTCTCGTCTGTTGAGCTTCAGAAAATGCCTTTCATTGAGCATTAAAACTGATCCTTTTTCCTCTAAAGGAGAATCGAAATAATATTGTAATTAATCTGAAACTGCCCCGCACGGGGATGTTTCGGATTGCTCTGGGGCAGTTTCAGATTTTCACTGATATTTACCATAAATTCCATTGTGGAATTGTAGAATCGCGGGCAAATGATCACTTTGGTTCCTAATCTACGCACTAAAACTGTTTAATTCCCTAAAAATCGCCTTTAAATTACTATTTTCGCGACTTTTCTGGACCCTTGCACGGACTGTCAAAATGTCTGAGCGAAAAGCAAGTTGCCCGTCATTTTTCCTGTATCGCAACGCCACCATGCGTGAGTGGTGGCAACTTGACGCGCAGCGAAAGTTCCGCGCAAAATGTGCTTCTCGAAATTTCTGCTCTAATCAGTGATTTTCGCGTGTATTTTCTCACTTTTCCACTAAGAAGTCGTTTAACGTGATGAAGCAATGCAGCACAGAACGGCACTTTGTGAAAAATCTTCAATATTTGCCACAAGAAAATTTCGACCGTGATGTTGCGTCAGACTGTCAGAGCGCGCTGTTGTCAGTCCGTGGCGATCCGAAACTGCCCCGTGTGCAGTGTTTGTGCATTTTCCACCACCCACTGAAAAGGCCGTGCCAAGGAGGAAAAGTTCGGGCATATTTAGAATCTCTACTTAACTCTCAATATCCTGTAAAAGAGTTTCACGCGAATTGTGGCTTTTTTAATGGAGAAAACACGCAATCAATTCGGCAGCAAAATTCTAGTTTGTGAGTGATTTTCAATTTTCACTTATTTTATCTAAACAACAAAAGCTATCCTGTGCAAATTTTCGTCAATTGTAGTCCTTAAGGACTACAAACATTGTGTGAAGACCAGGAATTTATTCATGTAAAAATCTCTGAGAAAATTAAGAAATCTGAAGCTGCCCCAATCTGAAGCTGCCCCATTTACCCCTAATTCTTTACAGACCAAACTGAAGAAAATACAGACATTTAAACCTTATTATCTCCCCCTTGATTTTATCAGGCGAGCTGAGCTTATGCAATTTTTAATTAAAATTTATTACCACCAGTGCGAACACACAGAACACCCAGCTAAGCTGGGTGGATGAAAATAAGGGTGGGAAAGCGGAAAAATCATAATCACACTCTGTCGCGGAACTAACTGGAGGCCATTGTTGGCGTGTACTCACATAGGATTGCACGAAAAAATTGGAATTATCGCAATTCTCTTCGCATTTGCATTTGATTTTCATTGTGTTCGAGTGCAGCGAAATGATTTCATCTGGATGAAATGACAATCACTAATTAATTACTGTGCGTCATCAGGAATGCACGGCGTGTGTGTGTTACCCTTAATGGCCGCCAGGCACTTCATGCCCGCCAAGTCGCACACAGGATGTCGCTTGCCGCTCTTGCTGCGACTGGGATAGAAATGTGGCACGCATTGGCACACTTCCAGCGCCATCCGGATGCGACACTCCATCCGGCAGAGATTCAGGCTGTACACGGCGCTGAATTGCAGGCCGTCCGCCTCGTCCGGGAAGCGACAGCGACGCTGCGACACCGACAGATCCCTGGCATCCTGCGTGGTGCGGATCTCCAGGGCGGTCAGTTCCACTGTGGCGTAGCCGGAGTCGTCGAAGGAGTAGCGCCGCTTGGAAATGTCCGGAATGTCCACGGCGGCGTGAAAGTAAACCTGCGAAGCGCAATTTCTTAAATTTCAATGACCATAACCTCAAAATATCACCAAGAAGTCTCTTAAAGACTCATTTTGATTTGCCAATAAACTTAAAATTGTTGATTCAGGATCAACATGCTCCACAATAATCTTCCTTCTTGTTTACATTTCTATTTCCCGATAAGAAGATGTGGAGGGCCTCGAATGCTTTCAGCTTTTTGCTGTTGTGGAAGCTTTCTAGATCACAAAAGCGTCTCTTATGCTTTGCCAATGAACTTAAAATTGCTGATTCAGAGTCAAAATTGTCCAGAAAGTTGTTTAAATGAACATTTCCCAAGTAGAAATGACTATTTTTGAGGTTATGTTGGATTTTAGCACAATTTGCAGTGTTTCTTGGCATTAGAGTGGCAATTTCTTTGACTTAAACATAAGAATCGACTTAAAACCACTGTTTTTGGACATCTTTTCTGATCATAACCTCAAAATATTACTAAAAGCTCTTCAAAAACTCCACTCGAAAGCTTTCTAGATCACAAAAACGTCTCTTATGATGTTCCAACGAACTTAAAATTGCTGATCCAGAGTCAAAATGATCCAGAAAGCCTTAAACATAAACATTTTCCAATTCTAAATCAGTATTTTTGAGGTTATGTTCAATTTTTAGCCAATTTTTCTGTGTTTCTTGGCATCAAAGTGTCAGAAAAGTACTGCAAATGCATAATTCAGTTAATTCTTGTACTAGAATAGCTCCACAATAATCTTCCTTCTTGTTTACATTTCTATTTCACGATGAGAAGATATGCAGAGCCTCCAATGCTTTCAGCTTTTTGCTGTTGTGGAAGCTTTCTAGATCACAAAAGCGTCTCTTATGATGTGCCAACGAACTTAAAATTGCTGATTCAGAGTCAAAATGATCTAGAAAGCATTAAAAATAAACATTTTCCAATTCTAAATCAGTATTTTTGAGGTTATGTTCAATTTTTGACCAATTTTTCTGTGTTTCTTTACATCAAAGTGCCAGAAAAGTACTGCAAATGCATAATTCAGTTAATTCTTGTACTAGAAAAGGAATTACACACTAAATCTGTTCTTGATATCTTAAACATAACCTAAAAAAGTATTGTTTCTACGTCAAAATCAAAAGAAATCCGAAGAATTAGGATAATTTGATACTAAATGAAGCACTCGAAAAAGGAATATTGTAAGTTTTTGATCATTTCCATTTCTTAAGTACTTCCGCTGAACTGTACACCACTTCTGACTGTATTATCTCCCCCTTGGCTGTGACTCTTATTGGTTAAATGGCTAAAAGTGTCATAAAATGTACGCATTTTTGCTAAAAACTCATCGAAAATAAGGGAAGACCTTATCTGACAGAAAAACTGTGTTCTAGAGATTTGTAGAATATCTTTTGACCTTTCCTAAATGGTATTATTTTTCAAAATCTATCAAAAAATGACGCTTCTATGAGTATTTTTACATTGCAAAATGCATTTGATGAGCGTTTATCCAATAGATTTCAGTCTGAATATATTTTTAAAATCGATAAAAACAATCTCTAACTCAATTTATTGTTCTTATGATTTGTAAGCTGTGAAATTTCCTTTCAAAAACGTGATTACCCATGAAAATCTACTAAGAATTAGTGTTTTTTCTGAGTGTTTTTAGTCAAAATGCATTAAAAAAAATCAATTACTGACAAAAAATAGCCATTAACACTATCTTGTGATCATTTGGTGACTTTAGTATGTTCTAGACATTTGTAGGCTGTGAAGTCACCTTTCCAAATCTGTGTCACTTTTGCAAATCAAGCAAGAACTTTGGAAGATATGGTGTGATAAGTAGTGAAGAACAAGAACAGAATGTTCCAAATTTACATTTTTCCAGCACAGAATCTTTCTCATCACGCCAAGAGTGATTAAATGAGCTAAAGAAATAATAAAATTATCAATTTAGATTTCTCAAATCTTGAAGTGCAAATTAAATTACTCCAACTTCACGGAAAAGTGTCGTAAAGTGAACAAATTCTTAAGTTAATTATCAATAATTCGAAGAAGAGTATTTCGTTAAAATGTGACCTTATTTGCTCGTGAGAAAGCTGAAAACTATAGATTAAACCCAAGGGGGAGATAATATGGTTGAACAGTGTACATCACATCCAAACACTTCCACAATTCCTCTGCAGAATCTTCAACACTTCCAGACACTTCTTAATGCCTTTAAAAATGCATAATTGTCTTGATTTTCTAGTTTAATCTTCGGAAAATGCTTGAAAAGAAACTCTGAATAAATTGTGAGGTTATGAATTTTTGCTTAAAAAATACTTCAAGTCTGAAAACGACTAAAAATGGCGAAAAGCACCATTTTTTCATTAAATAATGAGGTTAAATTTGCCATTTTAAAGCACAAATCGTGAAAATAACCAATCAAAGGGGATTCTCTGAGACATTTTTGAGGTTATGTTTGACATTTAACCTGTTTTCCAACCTAATCTTAAGTTTTTTCAAACGCTAATGCTGAATTTTGACAAGAAAAGAGAAAAATTCTCAGTTTAAACACAAATTAAATGATTTTGAGGGTTGTTTTATCACATAACCTCAAAACAAAGCGATCAAATTGATTTTTCTAGTCAAAGTAATTGAAAAAAAATGCTTCAATTTGATGAAATTGAAGCTTTTGCAGTGCAAATATTTATGTAAATGTAAAAACCGCGAAAATAACCAAAGCAAAGAGACATTTTTCTGCAATTAAGTGATATTTTTGAGGTTATGTTTGACTTTTAAGCTGTTTTCTAACCTAATCTTAAGTTTTTTCAAACGCTAATGCTTAATTTTGCCTAGAAAAGATGAAAATTCTAAGTTTAAACACAAATTAAATGATTTTCAGGGTAATTTTATAACATAACCTCAAAAATAAAGCGATCAAATTGATTTTTCTACGCAAAATAATTTTTTAAAATGCCTCAATTTGATGAAATGAAAGTTTTTGCAGTGAAAATATTTTTGTAAAGTGAAAACCATGAGAATAATCAAGACAAAGAGACATTTTTCTTCAATTTAAGTGATATTTTTGAGGTTATGTTTGACTTTTAGGCTTTTTCTCCATCAATATGAACTTTTTTCGCACAAAAATGCTCAAATCTGCCAAGAAACAGAGAAAGTTGATAATTTAATCTGTTTTTACATTAAATATAACCTCAAAAAGGGCGATAAAATTGATTTTAGAGCAAAATTAATTAGGAAAATGCCTCAATTTGATAAAACGGAAGTTTTTACTGTGAAAATATTCTTGTACAGATATTTTTCTGCATTAAAGTGACATTTTTGAGGTTATGTTTGACTTTTAGGCTTTTTCTCAATCAAAATGAAGTTTTTTCGCACGAAAATGCTCAAATCTGTTAAGAAACAGAGAAATTTGATAATTTTATCATGTTTTAAATTAAACATAACCTCAAAAAAGGCGATAAAATTGATTTTAGAGCAAAATTAATTAGGAAAATGCCTCAATTTGGTTGAAATTGAAGCTTTTTCAGGGCAAATATCTGCCCCTTGGATTATGCAATGTGCAGCCTTTCCCCGCGATTCACCCCGCGATTTGTCCTGTGTGTGAGGGTGAAATTAAATTGCAAAATGGACAGCGCGAGAGTTCACAATTGAATTTAATGTCGCTGCAGTGAAAAGCAATTCATTAACTAATTCAGCTGTAATGCGCGGAAATTTCAGCAACACTGACCTCGTATGCCGTTGACAAGTTGATTATTTGTGCATAAATTTCACCATCAAGCGGATGAACCGTGACTGTAGCGCCGGACGCGATGAGATGCCAACCATTTGCCTTCCGGTACCTTTTTTGGCGCGCAACAGCGCGGCGGCGAAAGAGGAAAGAATTTAATGGAATTCCGTCGATTCGAACTCAAAAGGAGAGTGCGACCAGTAATTTGTGTGTTGCGGGCCTTTGACCACAAATTCGAATTATATATCACTCTCCAAACATCCACCTTTACCGACTGTGCTTTAGTGTGGAAAATGCACAACTCGCCAAGGGGGAAATATGGCCCAAATTTCTACACAACTTAACTAAAATCCTTCAAATTGGCAAAAATTAAATGTTTTAAGGCTTTTTAACAGAATCTTAGAAGAATTTTCAAAGAATTTGTGAGATTATCAGCCTAAAAGTAAGGTTAATAAATTATTTTGACAGCTTTTGACAGTTTTTGACAATTACAAAATTTTTCATATCTTTATAATATAATTTGTCAATTTTTTCATTGAAAATTTTTATCAAAAACTAAGCGAAAACTTTAATTAGACTATTTTAAAAGTGTTAAGTTGATAATTTTGTGGAAAATACCATTGAAAATTGTTTTTCTACATCATAACCTCAAAAAAAACCATTGAGATTTAAAGAAAACTGTTCAAAATTATATAGCAATTCTCTTATAAACCCAAAAAATTAAGATTTGACTTCAAAACTTGATAAGAAACCTCATGAAATAACCTTTTTTCCACAATCAGACGCAAATTTGAGGTTATGTTAGACTTTTACACAATTTTCAGCGTTGTTTAGTATCTTAAAATTCAGTATTCTGATAATTATTGGTTAAAAACTTTGAAGTCTTCTTATAAATAAGGATATTTTCCCTTGTGAGCTTGAGAATTGTTGATTTTCGAGGCTATTTGCTTGCTGAAATTAGTAACATAACCTATAAAATCACTATTTTCTAACATTTTAAAGCTTTGTCCAAAGAAATGTATGAAATTGATTTGGTCAAGGGGAAAGTCAGTCGCAAGTTGAGATCATTAACTTTGTGATTATTCAATCTTTTTATCGATTATTTCGTGATTTTAAGTCAAATTCTGATTATTTTTTGATTTTTTTTCTTAATATTTAATCAAAATATGATTATTTTTTGAATATTTAATGAAAAATTGTTTATTTTATAGAAATTCGGATTATTTTTTGATTATTTCTGAATTTTTTTTTCAAAACTTGATTATTTCACACAAATTCGGATTATTTTTTAATTATTTGTGGTTTTAATTCAAAATTTGATTTTTTTTTTCAATTTTACTTGAGAAAAAAATTCTTTTTTTTAAATTATTTAATTCGGAATTTGATTCTCTTGATTTTTTTTTGTAATTTTACTTTGGAAAAAAATATTTTTTTTGATATTTTATTTAGAATTTGAATATTTTTAAATTCTACTTTGGGAAATAAATATTTTTTTTATTATTATTTGATTCAAAATTTGATTATTTTACAATTTTAATTTGGAACACAATAATTTTTTGATTATTTTATTCAGAATTTGTTTTTTTTTTTCAACTTTACTTTGGAAAATAATAATTTTTGGATAATTTTTTTTTAATTTGATTATTTTTCAATTTATTTCGAGAAAATATTCCTTTTTTTAATGACTCAATTCAGAATTTGGTTATTTTAAATTTTTTGTAATTTTTTTTGGGAAATAAAATTTTTTTCCGATTATTTTTCAATTTTATTTGAGAAAATATAATTTTTTTTGACTATTTTATTCAGAATTTGTTTATTTTGATTTTTTTTTGTTATTTTACTCGGGATAATAATTTTTTTTTTAAATTATTTATTCAAAATAAGATTTTTTTTTCAATGTTAGTTGAGAAAATAATCTTTTTTTTTTTTTTAATTATTCAAACCATAATTTGATTATTTTTCAATTTTACTTGGGAAAATAATCATTTTTTGATTATTTAACTCAAATAATTGGATTATTGCATTAGAGAACATTAAGTTTCCTCAAAAATCGCCTTGTGATTTGCCCCTTGGATTTGGTAAACCACTTCTTTAAGCACTTCTATTTCTTTTGCACTTTTCCGCTAAACTTCTGATCGCAATATATCTCCCCCCTTGAGGTGCATCATATCTGGTGCAGAATTAATGAAATTGCCACAATTTCGAATACTCAACTGAAAGGAATTGTAGGCCGCGACGCGCGAATTGATTGAGTAGCAAATGCCGAGTTCGGTGATTGTTTCCACGAGTGTCAATTTGCCCACCAAACCGCTGTTGATGTCAGGATTGAAGGGCCAACTGAGGTTCCAGATCAGCTCCATGAAGTCACTGCTGGCAATGCCAAATGTCCTGTTCACCGACAATTCGTCAAAATTCTCAAATGTCGCCCTGGAGAGCTTCTGCACGAAGTCCCTGAACTCCTCCTTGGCCTCATCATCGGGATACTTGTCCTCGTTCTCCTGCAGATAATGCGCAATTTTGCTGTCGTCCAATTGTCGATGCGGACAAACGGTGACGGCCGGAAATGTGGTGTTCCAGAAGAACATATTCCTGTCCATCGAAATGACCGTGGGTGATTCCTGGTAGCGCTTCCAAATCCTCTGACTCAGCGATGCTGTACCATAAAAGGCCACAGCGACAAAGGACATCCACAATATTCTGGAAAAATTTTATGACAAACTTAACCCATGAAATACCTTTACATTTTGTTTTTATCATAAAGAGACAATAAATACACGCGGTCGGTGCATAAGTTCCCGGGGGAATTTTCAACACAGTAAAAGATCGGCACAGCGCATTGGATTTTTATTAAACGAGTGCAAAGACAATTTATCTACACAGAAAGAAAAAAAATAGTTGAAATAGTGACAAAGCTTGTTAAACACGATAGTAATTGGCTTTTTCACGAAAAGTTACCAAAAAATATGTAAAAATAGGTAATTTTTCGTAAAAATCTTAACATTTTTACGAAATATAACAACTGTTTACAAACTTTTACGAACTTTTACCACCCATCATTTGACCACAGCTGCAAGTGCGAAAGAGACAAATATATTTTCAGCATTTTTAGTATATTTGTCTCATTTGCTTTGTAATGAGGTACTAATGGGTTAACCATAAGAATCCCATTCAGCAAAGTATTGACGCAAGTAGACTGAGCAAGGTTCACCATGAGGGTGTCCACCTCAGAGACAGCTAACGCTGGCAATACTTTGGTTGCCCATAGAGTTTAGGTCAATAAGAAATAATGTGATTCTCTTACGGACTGTACTCGACCACGAACGTAAAATAAACGCGGACTAAAAGAGAGCTCGTTGTTTTTACTTCCTAAGTATCCGAAGATACTTATTACATGGCGATCTTGCCAGTTTGTACAGTGAAAAAGTGAATCAAATGGTGAAGAGAGTGATAAAAGCCGAGATGCTGAAATAGTCTAGAAAACCCCATTTAATAATACAACGCAGCAAGTGAAACTAAAAATAATAAGTCCAAACATCTAATAAAAGTGACAATGGGCAGCACTTGTACGTGTCCTGAGGACAAGAGGGAAACATTGGTCCAGAATGGCGCTCAGAACGCATGTCAGTGCTTCATCATCACCAGACATCAAGGGATACAGCGACAAGGAGTTGATAATGGCCATCGGCGTTACCCTACTCGTCAACTTCATGCTTCAAATTGTGTGGCGTAAATTCTGGAAGCGAGTGGAAAATCATAAGACTCGTCCAAGGCAGCAGACCCAGCAAACCATCTAAGATCAACCCTGCTACGTGTGATTCGGACAGACAAGCCTTTACAGCTTTGGTGTTAAGTCAGTTTTTGTCAAATAATGGTGGAAAAGAATGCATTCGTTTCGTGAAAAGTGCCGTAATTCATCAAAAAATGCAGTTTTCACCGCGGAAAATAAATGAAAATGTACTTCATGTACATCAGCAAGTGTGGAATTATGTATCTCTGCCCCAGACACTCTTTGGTAAGTGTTTTCTTCCCTTGAATTCGTGAATTTCATCGCCTCATAATTGACTTATTTTCTTTCTTCAGGATAAAACGTTTTCCACACTTCATCGTCAGTAAATGACAAGGATTGGATCTGCGCGAAACGAACACGCAGATGGATTTCCGCGAGAGCGCGCCACTTGCCGCGAAGAGGAGAAGTGATCGCGAACGGGAGGAGGCAACAAGAGAGAAAAGAAGGAGATTCAAACCAAAAAGCGTCAGCCATTGAAGGCATTTTCTTAAATCTAAGTTTTCGTCGTTATTAAAGTGAATTATTACAAGTTTTGTGTATCAATCGAAGCAGCAAGGAGACGTCCGCAGAATTCGTCATTCGGATCCGGATTGGAGTTAACATTATTCTAATTATCCTCATTATATCATACAGGTAGCGAACCAACCATTCATACCCATTCACGCACGAGACATTCATAGCATTTGGGTTTCATTCTCAGGTCAGTCATACAGGCAGACATTCACGCATTCACACCAGGATTTACTCACGTAAACATTCATACATTCTCAGGTAATTCGCGTTACCAAGGATGTTGATGGGATTCAACCAGCCAATGCAGGACACGTATTGTCCAGGACAGAAGTGCGTCAAAAGTTGCCGAGGACGCAAAGATGACAACATAACCTCACAACTTTACTCCATGGCAACACGACTGGAATCGGACCGCGAGCATCAGAGAACATCGTCCGGACTTGCCTCCAAATGGAATTGATTCCGGACAACGTTGGAAGAACGCTGTCTTAGAGAGCATTTCAACGAGCAAAGTCACCAACACTCCAGTGTGTTCATATTCAAAAATGTGAGTTTATTAATGATTTTAGAGGTTGTTTTCGAAAATCGCAAGAACAGAAGATTCAGAATACTATTTTCATTAACTCAAAAAATGCTTAAGTATGTAAAATTTCGAAAGTATTTTGTTATAATTAAAAAAGGTTGTGATCCATAATTCACAGATTTAATTCATATTAATCATTCATTTTACAAGTAATTTTATGTCAATTTAAAATAAATCAAGTTCATTTTCTAAGTTTTTTAACCTCTGATAACATTTTGTGTTTATAGATAGAAAAGAAAGAAAAAAAAATGTTAGAATTTAATGAAAATTTGTTCATATATATATGTATATGTATTTCTTACAGCAATAAAATTATGAAAGAAAAGCAAAATATAATCTTTTACATCCCAAAAAATTACAAACTCCAGAAAATTTTGCGAGAAATTACAAGCATTTGTAATCCCATTAGAAGGATTACATAGAATTACAAACGGCAGGTAAGAATTACGAGCACAAATTTTGACGAATAATTACAAACTATTACGAGCAGATTTTGTAAAAAAAATTACAAAATCTAACAAATGTTTACCCGGAAGACATTTTCACTAGCCTGTTCGTAATTTTCCCATACGATTTCAGAATTTTTTAGAAAAATTTAACAAAATCCTACTAATTTTTTCTTTCTGTGTAGATAACATCAAGAACAGAGACTGAAGGACAGAGTGACACAACATGAGAGAATGGTGAAAAATATCAAGAAACAAGCAGGACAGACAAGGCCAGAGAACGACATGAGCGCGCTCGGAACACACTCAAATCACCGCCCTAAATCGGTGTATCGACAACAACAAACTCAAAGCATTGGAGGCCCTACACATCTTCTTATCACGACATAGAAATGTCAATAAGAAGCAGGATTGTTCATGCAGACAGTTCAAACAACACACAAGCACACAAGCAGAGTGTATGATCACTCGTAGTGGTTCAGTTAATGAAGCTGAATCCCATCTTCAATCTAGGGATCTAGGTATGCCTGAGGAAGGGGTTAAAAAAAACCCTAAACGTTGTACGGAGAAGAAAAGGAGTTTTAGCTAAATGTTTGGCAGATTGTTGTTCCGCGTTCTTGCTTTTAGTCCAAACTCATGAAATCTGTTTCTCGCGGTATTAAAAAGGATCATAGGGACCTGAGGGAACAATTCTTAATGGATCTTAGAAGCAGACATGATGAATTTCGGCTGATCAAAAGTTTTTCGCGATGTTATCCGCGAAATCAACCCTTTTTACGCGATCAATTGCACTCAAAACTCTCTTGTTGGGATAAGAGGGTCCTTCTGGTTATTGACCCTGATAAAATGTCCTTTCTTGCGCAGTCAAAAAATCTCTGAACTCATATGTGACATTAACGCCTCGTAACTTTATATGCATTTAATCAAATTTTGATATCGAACACTTATAAAGTCCAGATAAAAAAAATGATAATCCACAGGACAATTATCCTGAAGACACCTCGGTTTACTTTAAACCACTTGAAGAACCCAAAACAAATGTACTGGATAAAAAATCAAAAATTACGGTGAGTATTGAAAATCTCGACTTGGTTTTCTGCTTTGGCTCGGTTTTGGTATCATAAAAGGATGAAGGATTAGATCGAATGTCATCAAACTTGGCATGGTCATTACTTATTAATGAAGGAAGAATTGTGGAAAATTTCAAATGTCTAGCTTAACGTGAACATTCACGACACACCTTCAATGGGAGAGTATTAGAAGAGGCGGAGCATCCAAAGGGGCGGAGCCTAATTGCATTTTCCATCTTTTATAACATTTAAATATAGGAAAACTCCTGTGAGGACACATTTTTACACAATAGAGAAGAATCATATTGAGTGACTCTCGACATGTGAATTTCACTTTGGAATATTTCCACTGAAAGCATGCACACGGAATTGCATCTAATTCAAATATTTCTCATATTCCTTTTTCTCATATAATAAATTGCTGCATAGCGAAATTAAATTTTTTTTATTATTATTCTACTATTCCACCATGAATGGCGTATATGTAGAAATGATTATTTGAAATAGAGAACATTGCGAATTTAGTGCACTTCCGGAGGTTAAGAGATTCCGTTTTATGAACACATGCCAGCGCTTCATCAAAATTCAATGGATAATGAACAAATACAGCGAGAGATGAATGGAATTTTCCATCCCCCACCCTCCCAAAATACCAACCCACTTTGGGCATTCTCTCAAGGGGGAGATAATATGCCTTAAATCTGTACACAACTTCCAAATCACTTCCAAATCACTTCCAAATTTAACTGACACTTCTAGAGAAGATGAAATTTGTAGTGTGTTTCCACACAATCGACTTTGAATAACTTTTTTGGGTATTTTTCCAACTATAACCTCAAAAATATCACCAAAAGATCTTCAAAAAGTCCATTTGGAAGCTTTAAAGATAACAAAATCATCTGTTATAATCTGCAAATGAACTAAGAATTGCTGATTCACACTCAAAATTGTCCAAAATGTTTTTTAAATGACAATTTTTGAGGTTATGTACGATCTTAGCACAATTTGAGACATTTATTGGCAACAAAATAGTCCAATTCAAGGCAAAAATTACTTTTATATCAAGTTTCCATTCCATATTTGTGTAAGAATTCACTTAAAATCAATTTTTTGGGTGTTTTTTTCGATCATAACCTCAAAATGTCACCAAAAGATCTTCAAAACCTTCATTCGAAAGCTTTCTGGACCATAAAAACATCTCTTATGATTTGCCAATGATCCTGAAATTGCTGATTTACAGTCAAAAATGTCTAGAAAGTCGTCAAAAATTGACATTTTCCAAGTGAAAATGACTATTTTTGAGGTTATGTTTGATCTGAGCACAATTTTCTGTGTTTCTTGACATCAAAAGATCAAAAAATCACTGTTAAATGCTTGTAACTGCTTAATTCTGCTAAAAACTGGCAGAATTTATGCGAATTTATGTCAAATTTGTCCAAAACGATCATAATTTTTGAGGTTATGTACAATCTTAGTACAATTTGAGGCATTTCTCGGCATGAAATGAGCCAAATTGAAGAGAAAGATTATGTTATATTGAGTTTCCATTCCATATTTGTGTAAGAATTCACTTAAAATCACTTTTTCGAGTGTTTTTTCAATCATAACCTCAAAATGTCACAAAGAATCTTCAAAATTTGCCAATAATTTTGTCAAAACATGCCAAAATTGCTGATTCAGTGTCAAAATTGTCCAGAAAGTTGTTTAAATGAACATTTCCCAAGTAGAAATGACTATTTTTGAGGTTATGTTGAATCTTAGCACAATTTTCTGTGTTTCTTGACATCAAAAGATCAAGAAAACACTGTTAATTGCTCGCAAATGCTTAATTCTGCCAAGAAATAGCAGAATTTATGCAAATTTATGTCAAAATTGTCCAAAACGATGATAATTTTTGAGGTTATGTTTGATAAAACACAATTTGAGGCTTTTCTCGGCATGAAATGAGTTCAATTCAAGAGGAAGATTCATTTAAAACCACTTTTTCAGCGTCTTTTCCGACCATAACCTCTAAAATATCACTAAGAGATCTTCAAAATTTGAGGTTATGATATTAAAAATCACTGATTCTCAGTCAAAATTGCCCAAAATGTTCTCTTATCCGACTAGAGCATAAGAATTAATGTGCTAGAATGCTAATTAGGCACTAAATTTGTTCTTAATTCGTTACATAACCTAGAAAAAAGATTATTAC